CCCCAAAACCCCAAAACCCCAAAACCCCAGGAGGGGAGGGGGTGATTGAAAAGAGGAGTTTTTAAGGGTTGGGGATGTGAGGGGATATGGAAGTTGAAGGGTGAGGGGAAGAGAGGAGAGAAAATGGGAGTTTGTGGGGTTAGATATGTAGAAAGAATGGGTTTTAATTGATTTAGGGCTTTGGATAAAAATCTTGTCGTGTTTAGAAAATTAAATCTTAAATAAAATCAGATCTGTCCCTTCCTTTTAAACAGCAAGTATATTTTATTTTCTCAAAAAATCCAACAATCACCGTCAAACCCACCTCAACCTCCTTCTAAATCTTCCTCTCCACTCCAACACCACTCTACCTCCTCCCTCTTCCTCCTTCTTCTTCACGACCTCTCTCACCCACTCTCAGCCAAATCTCCTCTCTATGAATTCCCGATAAAGTCTCATCCCTTGTAAACCACTAAATTTCAAGGCAAACCTCTAAAACCGACTGGCTGAAATATGGGATTTTAAGTGAAGAGAGGTAAACCAGGTTTTAGGAAATTTATGGGAGAGTTTTGCTTAAGGCTAGCATTTTGAAGGATAAGAGAGGGTATGTGGGTGAAGAGGAGTAGGAGTTTATTAGAGAGAAGGAGTGGTGAAGGGGGTGTGAAGATGATGTGTCTTTTTGAAACACTAGCTTTTTAGGATTTAGGCGATTAGTTTTAATTAAGGTTTATCAAGAAAAGCAGGATGATATCAAGAGAGATGTTTAAATTTTGAATTTCTGCTCATTTTATTATCATTGGGCAACTTAATAATACTATTTATCACATACTTTATCTAAAACGATTCCCTTTTAAAATCATACTCCTCCCTTACTTATTTGAAGCCATCTAACCTGATCATTTCAAAAATTCCTTCCACTCCAATCACTCTAAAAACCTGCACACTCAAACATTTCTCTCTAGAAACCCTTCTTTCAGCCTCTCCATCAGCACCTCATCTCTCTTCTCTTAAACCCACTCTTTCAAAAATTCTTCTTCGGAGTGTCTATTAATTCATAAATTTTCAAGAAAATATCAAGCATAATTCCAATCGACCAGCCAATTTTTATAGCATCAATTCTTTTAAGTCTACCCAACTTTTAATAGTGTCTATCTTGCACTTCTAAATGCAAAATTTCTTAAATTGACCCAATAAACGAAAAAGTATCAAAGATGTATTAAGCAAGGTACATTGTGGAATCTTTTGGGACTGAAATTGAGACCAACTCAGAGAGAAGAGGTAATCAGGAAAAAAATTATAGGTGGGAAGACTATTTGGAGGATTTAGAAGGCTGAGTGGAGAGCTGGAGGAAAAGAAAGTGGGTTAGAGGTTTAAGTTTATTAACCAGAGTGACTGTTTGGGGTTTTAGAAGATATTATATATCATTGTTTGTTCTATTTTGGAAGAGTTTTAATAGTTTTGGTGTAAATTTATGAATTTCTGCTGTATGATTTTTTATGGGAATATTACGCTTGAAGTTTGGTCTGTCCTCAGAAATAACCTTAATATGTCAGGGGTTTGTTGATTTGCTTATCTAGCTTTGATATCCAGACTTTTAATGATGATTAACAAGCATTGTTTAAGTCTCAGCCTTGTCATAAATTTGTTTTAATTCTTTAATCAAATTTGAAATAATTGCTCAGTTTTTCATAAAATATTGCTGAGTAATTAATCAAGTAACTACAGTTTTAGTAAAGGTTTGAGGAGCGATGAAAATTGCCTAACTCTACTTTGTATCTCTATCATTAATTCCTTAATAAATTTTCTCTCAAACGAGAGATTATTATAAATGGTTAAGAGCTTCAGATAGCTAACTTTCCTTAAAATTTTAGAAGTAATTAAGTTACAATTAATTTAGCTTATCTTCTGGATCAATATCATTCATCGTGATCAGGGGTTCAATGATAGGAGTTAATTCAGATTTTTCATGTACCATCTTCTTCATCTCTAATTTAAAAGGTGAAAAGGCTTTCATTCTTCATTCTTGAATGGGTGGGCTTTTAACATTGCTTTTTGTATAATTAGATACCGTGTGTGTCTTTATGTTTCTTAAAGGTTCAGATTTCTTAGACTGGCAAGGCCTCCAAATAGATTTAGTAATACTCTCTTCTTTCCTTTCACAGACTAACTTCTCAACTTTGGTAGATGAATGATATCTTTTCGTGAACTGGTCCTTCAACGCGTGCATAAACCCATCGAATTCCTCGCTCTTGATGCTTCCTTTGTTGCTTCAAAGCAAGCTCTGATGTCACTGTTTGGTTGGACTCAGCGAGTTCGAAGACACTGGAGACTCTTCTGGAATCTCGCACAGGTCATCGCCCATGGCTTGAACCTGAAGCAGAAGGTAAGAATAACGCTTAAATTGGAGTGCTTAAAACAAGGGAATGCTAACCGAGACTTACAATGTATTCAGGGTTGGTATTATCCATTTTATCAATTTATTAATAGTATTTGTAATCATATCCAATATCTTATCTCCCATTTGGGGTTTTGGGGTTTTGGGGTTTTGGGGTTTTGGGGTTTTGGGG